GCGTGAACACAAGTCATCAGCATCAGCAAGGCATAAAGCGGACAACTTGAAACACTTTATTGAATCAGCTAAACTTGCGGCTCGCTTCTTCTTTTCTTTTCTTTTTTCTTCCCTTCACTTTCTTGGACCTGTGACTTTTAGTTGGCCGTCCAGGGGATCTGAATCCATCTACTGTAGACCATTTGTACAATCAATTGTTACAAAATGGACCACTTAATCTACCCCTAAATGCTAAAGCAATGACTAATTATGAGCTACTCCTAGCTGCTATATTCAGCTCAGCTCTTGCAAGTTGCCAGGCAAAAGGGCTACTAAAAACCAATATTAATTTCTAGCAAATTGCTCTAGCAGGCTCTTCATCTTCTTGGACCATGGCTTGGCGTTTGTGTCCCGGTGAGCTGAACCATGGATAAGAATGCGGTTTAGTGCAACAACCTGCAGGGGAACAATTTGATGACATTATCCTAATAAAATATATTTTTAGTCCATGCTAATACCTTTTAGGACCTGGTGTCTCTTACCTAGCCACACACATGTACACCGTTTCACCGATTTAATTATGTTTTTACCGAGTCATTTGTTCCGTATGAGAATAATCTATGGGTTGGAATGATCATCAATTACATACTTCTTCGTCATTGCTTCTTACAGAATTAATCAAAGGGGGAATATGCTAACGAGTATAATATAGTTTGAGGTTGTTGTGTTTGAAGTTTCCGATCGATAAGGTGTTAATGGTTTATTTTCGAAACTATTGGTGCTGGTAAAAAAAATGTTCTGCTATTCCTCTATCAAAGCATGTCAATGTCAAACATTTGCTAAAGTTGTACTCCCTCTGTTTCTGAATAAAAGTTTAGCTTTGATTTTTTTTCTTAGTCAAACTAATAAGATTATATAAAAATTAGTAGCATTTTCAACCCAAAACAAACATATTATAGATTTAATGAATCTAAAATTTGGTATTTTAGATGTTGATAATTTTTTCTATAAATTTAGTAGTAAAATATCAAAATGACTTCTAATATAAAACGGAGAGGGAGTATATACATATGCCAAACAATTTTACCAAAATTTGGGTAATACCCATATATACACATATATTAATTCCACATTGGCTCAATTTTCCAAATGGCACATTAATTCACACAATTATTTTTTGCACGATATCAGAACAACTTCTCCCATTTATATCTCTACTATTATAAAAACTGAAGATGTTTTTGCCAGAACTTTGGTACGTCATCCGTATATGAGTCGGTTTTTAAGTTCGTTCGATTTTAGAAATACCAAAGGAGTCGCATAGAAATCTCTTAAAAAAAACTCGCATGCTAACTTGAGACGATTGGACTCCTAATAACAACTCATGATTTTCTAAAATAATATATCCAAGCGAATTCTAACGGTGAGTTTTACCTGAACTAAACCTTATAATAATTATAAGATTAGAATAGCCTTCACCCGTTGCGTCGCACATGCATTTTCTCTAGTCTTATAAAAAAATTGGCAATACCAAATAGAGGTAAGGTAGAGAAGTTTATATAATCTAACATTTATCATCTCAAAAATTGCCTCAGCCTACGAGGCTACATGCCAATATATCCTGATCCTACACAGTGGCGGAGCCAGGATAAAATTATAGTGGGGTTTCTCAGCCTTTGGGCCTTATAACATTATTAGATAAAATCTATTTTAGCCCCCTTACAATAGATATATGGATTTAAATTTTAAGGGGTCTTAATAGGGGCTCTAATGATTTATTAGGGGGTAGGGGAGACCCCCCCAGCCCCCACGCTGCCTCCGCCACTGATCCTACATGCATGTACCCCGGCTCGTCCACGAACGTGTTGCCGTTACGGGCGCGCGCGCGTGCACATGAAAGCGCCGCGCAGCTCGTCGATCGCGACGTGCGAGACGCGCGCGAGCCCCGCGCGTACGTACGTACGTTCAACCACCCCCCCCCCCCCCCCCCCCGCGCGAGATGCAGCGCACCTGCATCTGCGTGCATGCCGCGCTAGCTAGCCGCTAGCTGCTGCGCGCCGCGCGCGGCTTCGTCGTTGATCGATCGCGTTCGCTTTCCGGACGGATCGAGCTAGGTGGCCGGCAGGAGTCGCTGAGGTTGATCGATCGATCGGTCGGTCGTCTCCGCCGCGCACGCGTGGTTTTTTAACTAACTAATCGGACGCTCTCAAAATGTATCGTTCTTTTTAGGGATTCAGGGATTGCGTAATTACATTGTTAATCCGGTATATCCACGCAAAATCATAGAAGAAAAATAATACTACTATATTTTTAACCTTTTTTTTCCAGCTAGTCAACGGCCGGCGCACGTGCACGCGCGTGCGCACCGGGCGGTATCTGCGACAAGCGTACGCGCCCCCGTGTTGCCTCCCTCCATGTGTGGCTGTGGGCTGCAAGCCTGCAGGTGGCACGAACCTGGCCCGACCGAAACAACGCGCATGCGCAAGTCGTCGATACTCTACGTACTACGCGCGCGCCCGCGCGACTACGGACGTCGCCCTTGCGGAGAGGGACACGACGGACGAGATCTTGGCTACTACTTCCTCCGTCCTAAAAAAAATACAAACCCTGATTTCCGTGCCCAACGTTTGACCGTCCGTCTTATTTGAAAAATTTATAAAAAAAATTTAAAAAGACAAGTTACGCATAAAATATTAATCATATTTTATCATCTAACAACAATAAAAATACGAATTATAAAAAAAGTTTATATAAGACAGACAGTTAAAGTTGGACACGGAAATCTATGGTCTAACTTTTTCTTGGACGGAGGGAGTACGCCGCATGCCGCGCGCCGCCGCGCCGCACGGCGGTCTTTGCCTCTGCCGTCTCCGTCTCCGATCCCGTCGCGCGCGCGTCGTGTTGAAGTTGCAGCAGCCAGCAATGCAGCCTGACTCGACTGATCGCCTCGCGGGCCGGCACGCAGGGTGCAGCGAGCGAGCGGCCGACGTGCGTGCATGCGCCAACCTCAAACTACTTGAAATTTGAAAAGCATATGCACGCATTATGCCTTTTTTATTTGCCCCCTTTCGCTTTGGGCTTTCAGTAATTATTCATGTACTTACTTCTTACGTCTCATAATAAATTTATTTTTAATCCATTTTATTTGTAGAAATGAATACTATAGGAATACCACTGGCAGAAAAGGATGTGAATCAACAACAAGCTGTGACATTACCGTGATATATCCATAGACTTCCATAAATGTGCACACCGCTTGACAAACAGATAATCTGTTTCGAATGGCTTCACGGGAAACAACACAAATGCGAGGTTTATTATTGCATCCTAGATTTTATGTAAGCTTCATCGGACAAAACAAATGATCGTTTTCAGGAAGTTCACCACTAAATCTAAGAAACACTCAATGCAGTCCTGTAAACCAAGGTTACACAGGTGGATCGTGCTCAATCCGAATGGCAAACCCTGTATGGTACCCACTATCGAAATGAAAAACGTCACCCCATCGTTACAAGTTAACCAATTTTTTTAACCGATAATCAGCAGTAAAAAAAACTTCCATTCGAAATACCTTTCTAAAATTTTTTGTAGCGGGCCAGCAGTTAGTTCCACCTTTTCAGTGCTGATTTGAATTTTTTGGCCCGCTCCGATATAAGGGTGTTACACGTACGTTTGCTTGTGCACATAATAATCGTTAGTAATTCATTCGTTTGCACATGGATGTACAGCTATCTAGCGAGTTGCGCTGTTGCGTTCCACTGTCACGCAAATTGGCAACCAGGCAAAATTCGGGGATCGAATCAAATAGGACGTGTGTGCTTCATGCCTTCATCCAATGGTGGCTGCCCTGCTGGTTGGTGGTACAGTGAAGCGCGCTGGTGCATGATTTTAGGATGTGAGCATTATGCAGTGCATAATTAATTAAGTACTCCCTCCATCAACTTTTGATAGTCATATTTCATCTTGGCACAATGAGGTGTGTTCGGCACCCTCTTTTTCTAACCCCTCTCGATCGTTTTCCGTGCGCACACTTTTCAAACCGCTAAACGGTGTATTTTTTGTAAAAAAATTTTTGTACAAAAGTTGCTTAAAAAATTGTAATTCTCACAAACTCTCCGAAACCTGCAGCCACAGCCGGCCACAGAAAATTCACCGAGTCAGACTCGGCTTGCCTTGCCACATGCCCAGGCCAGCCGACGCCCTGCTTGCATCACCAAGCCGAGCCGCTGCATGCTGCACAGTACGCATACACACATGCATAGCACAACATGCATCACCACGCTACTGCAATTCATAGTAGGCACACATATATGCATGCTACAGTACCACGTGTACTGTAGCACCATATACTCTTACTTTCCAATTTCCTTCGCGAACACCGACGCTTGCACGCACACCTCGTGAAGCCCGTTGCAAAGATTTCACCCACACGGTATCCATCCACCGTATGCCATCTCGTATCCAACTTCGTCACCCGGTATCCTTGACCGTCTGGACCTCAACTCCTCACTGAGTCTAGAACTTCAATTCTCCCCTTTTCAAGAAGTATGCATTTTGTATATTTCTCCCCCTTTGACAATAATTTCATCAAGATGTAAGTTATAAAAATCTAAATACACCCATAGCATGACCCATCAATATTAATAATTAAGAATTTAGCAAGAAAATGTTGACACATCTAGCTTTTTCCTAACTATTGAAGTTACCAAAAATTCAGTAGGACACGTGTTGGCTTCAATTCAAAACAACCTTAATATGAGAGAACGTACCTAACATTAATTTCAGCACGCGGAATATATATCCTTTGTTTCTTTTAAATACTAAGATATCTTTTCCACGTTTCATCCATGGAATTTAATATTAAATACATATATCCTTTTTTTAAAACATTATCCTATCTGAATGGATATATAATAATTCTTCCATGGATAAAATAAACAAGAGGGTTTGATATTTTTTTCCTATAAAAAAATTACATGATAAACCTTAGTAACGAAGCAAACCCTAGTTGGGCCGCCTCGAGATGGCAGCCCATTCCGGCCCAGGACACGAGCCATCGTCATCGGGGGTCGTCTACTACTTGCTTCCTCCTCCCTACTCCGCCTAGTCTACTACTCTACTTCGCTCTCCGCCGCCGCCGCCGCCGCCGCCGCCGCCCACCTCGTCTCGACGCCGGTGAGCACTCTCCCCCGCTGGAGATCCACGCGCCGCTGGTTGGATTAGTTCGGGCTAGGGTGGAGCGAGATTGGATCGTTGGATATTTGGTTTTTGGTTTTTGATTTTTTTTTTGTTGAATTGTTGGGGGGATTTGACTGGATTTTCCTCGTGCAGGATGAGGATGGAGGGTTCGTCGCCGATGGAGGAGGAGGAGGAGGCGGCGAGGCTGGCGGGCTCGCAGGGGGAGTCGCCGGCGATGCTGCACCCGAACGGAGACGGAGACGGCGACGGCGGCGATGATGAGGGTGACGCCAGCGGCGGCGAAGAGGAGCAGGGCGGTGTGGCTAGGGCGGGGGTTCGTCGCCGCGGCGGCGGCGGCCGTGTGCGCGTGCGTGGCAGGATTCCGCTGAAGAAGGGGCCGTGGACGCCCGACGAGGACAAGCGGCTGCGGGAGTACGTGGAGGCGCACGGCGAGGGGAACTGGAACCGGGTGCAGAGGAACGCGGGGCTGAACCGCTGCGGCAAGAGCTGCCGCCTCCGCTGGGCGAACCACCTCAAGCCCGACCTCAAGAAGGGGCCCTTCAGCAAGGAAGAGGAGGAGATGATCATCAAGCTCCATTTATGGCTGGGGAACAAGTGGGCTAAGATGGCAAACTCTGTAAGTGTGCTCCTCCTCCTACTCTTTCATGGTTCCTTGGTTTTGCTAGCTTGTGCATTGATACTCCGTTCATTGTTAGTTTAGATTAGTAGCATGCTTAATATTTAGGTGCATTGGTGTATTAGTTGGATTAGAGCAAAAATATTTAACCACCTAAATTAAAGCCTACCAACAGTTTGCCTAGTGGGGAGAATGCATGCTGTCCACTCCAAATATAGGGGCCGCAAATATACCACTTGCTCGTAGATAGATGTATTCAGAGTACATCAACCAGTATTTTCTTCTGTATTGGCGAAAGACTTTATTTTATTCATTTAATTGGCTCCAACTTGATTTAAATAGAGAATGGCCACTGGGCATACTTTTTTCTGAGTGTGGCGTAGTGCCATGGTGCAGACACATTTGACATGCTGCACTCTTGTAAATGGCCTTGTTAAAAGGAGTAGACAAATGCTTTGCCATTATTCCTTGTTTGCAGAGAATAACAAAGTAAGTCGTTCTTTTACAATTGTTGTTAGTCTTGTCTGAAATAGTATTTGGTCCTCCAACAAATCGAAAGAAAATTGATTCAGACCAATTATCCTTTAAATCTTCTTGCTTGTAGTGGCTTTACATAAGCAGGGGCAGAGCCTCATGGCTGCCTACCTGGACACTGGCCTCCATTGGCTGCAAAACCTTTGCAAGTTACAACTTAGTCGTATATATACTACCTATCTAGAAGCATGATATACTGCTTGATTAATATAAATTGTTTAGTTTATAATCAGAACAAACGGCATATTGTCAGTCGAGTATCCGTAGAAAACCAAACAGCGTATCTAAACTGTTTTTTAACTTTGATTTGATGCGATACCCGTGAACAAAATTCAGCTAAGCTTTGGCCTTCTATGAATTAAGTAGACCCAATCCTCCATGTTGGACGTAAGCTGTCTGTTCAATTCTGGATTGTCGTGGCTCGAGAATTTTGTAGATAATGGATAGAAATTCGGCATCTGTAGACTGTAGTCACTGTTCTAGGTTCCTATTAGGATCATTGTTTGTTAGTATTGTTACTACATGAAAATCGGTGTGATCGAGGCTATATATCTTTCATCTTCTGAATCTTTAGGGACAGCATTACTGGTGTGATGTGAGTGCCTGAGTGAGTGAGAGTGAGAGTGTGTCCTAGTTGCGGACTGAACACATAAAGAATTTGCAAAAGTTAACAATCGTTTTCTCCATATTGCATCACGATATCACATCACTAATTCACTATTTGTTGGTGGTTTGTACTACGCATTTGCAAACACCACGTAGCTAGCTAGATCAAGCTAGATATAACACCAAATCTGAGTTCTATCCTGAAGACTAGCTAGTAATCAATCGACTTAATTAGGATATAACGTGAAAATCGATCTTTGGCTGCCGTTTGTGTCAAGTTAACCATTCATTAGCTTAAGTGAATGGTTTTACTTTTCTTTTCAGAAACGATACTGTCATCAGGTGAAACTGCAACTAATATTGATGGTGAAGTCTGAACTCTGAAATGGATGGTGAAATACTGAAATTAATGGAAGAGTGAATAGTTTACCTGACAACCAGATGAGGTCGGCGAGGTCGAGACCCTTGCTCTGGATATAATCTATTAATCAAGCAGTATATAATCTATTAATCATGTATCCGTAGAATAGCTCTCGAGGTGTGGTCCCGAGAATAGCAGTCGAGTATCCGTAGAAAACCAAACGGCATATTGCAATCATGTATCTGATATTTAGATGCATTGGTGTATTGGATTAGAGGAAAATATTGTCTCTAGATTAAAGCCAGCTAACAGTTTGTCTAGTGCAGTCTTCTCCATATATACTATTTGCTAGTGTCTGGATATAATCAGTGGACATTAAATAGTTCTTTCTTATGTATATTGGTGACAGACTTTATTTTATTCAATTTAATTGTCTTAATATCGTTAGTTGCTAAGGACTTAAATAGAGAATGGTTGCCGGGCATACTTTTTCTTTAGTGCGTTGTGGTGCCATGGGGCACACGTGCTTGCAGTGCTGCACTGCAGAAAAGAAACTAGATATATATTTTACTGTTATTCCTCTTCTGTAGAGAAGGAACTCGGCTTGTTTGAGCATTCAGAGCTTGCACTAATTAGAAAAAAATAGAATACCTATTTTCTTGAATCTATACAGTCAGTTAACACATGGAACTGTCTTTTTCCCTTGTGTTACTGTAAGCAGGCGGATGTACTGTGACTCGCTAGCTAGACACAATCTCGAAAGATGTGAATTTAATTTTCAATTCTTAGTTTTCTGAGCCATGTTATAAGTAGTGTCAACTTTTAAACTGCAACAGGAAAAGCTGACATCTAGGCCACAGGATAAGGTAGGGTCTGCAATTATTATGGGAGGATTCATTGACATGGTCATATATATTTTTAAACTTTTATTGGGTTCCTTTCCTGCCTCCTACTAAATTCCTATGAGTTTTTGTTCATCGAATAGGACTTCATCATATTTTCATTTATGTAAAGACAATATCATTCACTGTTTCGTTAGGTATGTTTAAATCCTCTCCAACTATTGCAACACCATGATACATCTTGCTATATTTGCCATTCTAACATCTGAGGTACAATGCAAATGCTTATTAGGCTAATGCCTTAAGGTTCTTTAGTCTAATTGCCTAGAAAAATCCTATTAGATCATATGTTAACTTGCATATCTGAACTTCTGTTGTTGTTATTGCAGTTGCCAGGCCGCACAGATAATGAAATCAAGAACTTCTGGAACACTAGATGTAAGAGAATTCAGAGAACTGGTGAACCTCTATATCCGAAGGAGTTTAATCATTTTAAGTTGACAGATCTGGAAGTGATGAACTGTGAAAGCCCTGATGAATCACGTGCCAAGAAACGAACAAATGAGGTTTTACAGGGAAATGGTCAAAGTTACAAAGAGGTTTTTTTCGATAATTTAGACTATAGTAGACCAGAAAATTATATTCGGCCAAATTGTGTGACTCCAAATTCTCTTCCAGTTGATGCCACAAGTCCATTTGGTAGTGCCATTGCCACACAAGATCAGTCAGTACCTTTTGGTAGTGCCATTGTCAGTGGACATCCAATTCTTGATGGCAACTTCTCTACTTCTGGGACCATACAGAGGCCCATGAATGTAGAGCTCCCTTCACTCCAATATCCCAACTATGACTTTAACAATAATAATGCATGGTCATATCACGACCCCTTAGGACATCCTATTGACCAGGTTGACTTTGGCTCCCTGAGATCAGAATATCTCTCTCCAAACAACAATGGTCTGCTGGATGCATTGGTTCATGGAGGACATGGACAAGGGGAACTTGCAAATTCCCAAGGATCTTTTGATGCTTGTTTTCCTCGTGTTCAATGCAATCAAGTGATTCAATCGAATGCTTTCTCTCTGAGTTCTTCCTTTCCAATCATTGGTGATGATCTCCTCGAGAACAGTAAGTGTACTCACTCTTATTTTAACATGAACAATATCACATAAAACTTACTGTTAGTCTTTTCAGGTTGTCATGCTTTTGTTGGCATCAACAATAATGCAAGCAGCCTATTCCTTGACAGCCAACCTCCACCCTTGGTGGACCCTACTTTCTGGAGGCACGATGTATCACTAGAACCGAATTTGCCAGTTTATTGCCAGTTTAACGAAGAATTGCCGCCCTCAAATGAGCAGTTTGCCAAAGATGCAGATGACGCTTTCGGTCATGGGGGTCTTTCTGATGAGACCAATCTAGCTGCTGCAGGTCAAGGCGATGAACATGACCTTGAGGACCCCTGGGCGAGCATGCCCGGTGCCTGTGACATACCTGATTTTCCAAGTGAATGACTTGCATAGAGTTTGTGCGTGTTATTGATTTTGATCTCAACCAGTGAGAGAACCAAGAAGATCCTTTTTGCAATAACCATGCCTTTCAAGATCGTCCAATAAGTTTGTGGCTGCGTATGCTATTACTATCTTACCGTGGAGTTGTGTGCTATATGCTTTGCTCCCCGAGGAAATGTGGCCCTTGAACTGAATGTTGCCATTGTTTGTGTCGGCTACTTATTCGATTCATTAATGTTACATTGTTTGCTAGAATATGCTGAAATTGTATATTCGATTCATTGGTTTTGATTAATCAAAGACTATTGTCGTCATGTGGCAATTGGTACAACTTGAAGGGAAGTGAATGCTCTAATTGCTTGGGACATTGGTAGCTCCGGTTCTGGTGTTGGTGTTGCACCTGACGAGGCGATGCTCCTTGTTTTACCTGCTAATAATTGCTCCTGTTCCGTGAACATAACTTATTGGGTAAGATGAGGAATGCTGCTCTTGAACGAACTATGTGATGCCTAAATTGAGCTAAGGATTTGTCAACTGTTATAAATTGTGCGAAGGATTTGTCGACATAAACAATCAGTTCCATCTTTGAAAATGGTTTGATGTGTGCCTTTTGGGCTTCCGGTTTCACATGATCGAAGACGGATTCACATATACGTCTTCCTTCTTTAGTACTATCATCTCGAGTGTGCTGATGTGTGCCTTTTTGCCCGATTTCTCTGCATCTTGTCATTCAATTAACAGGCTGTTGCATCATCTCGCAAGTTGCAACTACATTTCGGTTATAGCCATTATATCTAAGGCATACTCTCTCATTTCGGTTATAGCCATTATATCTAAGGCATACTCTCTCCGTCCCCCCCCCCCTAAAAAAAAGAGAATATGTAACCCTAGGTCGAGTTTTTTTTGGACGGATGGAGTATGATTTAATATGCTGTGTCTACTAAATTACGGAATTTTTCACCAACAAATTCAAAAACTAGAAATTTGTTCTCATGGGCAAGTCCTTTAAACTTAAGGGAGTCGTCCATGGAAATTGATTTCCAAGAGCGGTCGTTATTTCGCTTGCCCAAATCATGTGATTTTTACAAGGCCTTGGTTGTAGGCGGGTCTAAAACACCATTGTAAACAGGTTCTTGACCGCCCCGCACAAACTTTTTTTTAAGCAGTGGTGATCTATGAACGGTGGGAGTGATTGTATTTGCGCAGGTGGCAGTGAAGCCTAAGCCCTTCTCTCCACTAGGTGCAGTTACTCATTGTGACACATCTTCATCACTAGTTACTGACTTTTATATCATCATGTAGGTCGAAGCTATCTTGTTTCAAATTATGATATCATTTATGCCGACAACACTCACTCTTTGTTTCTTTAGATCTAGCTCTTTCTCTCTTTGGATGGACCCTACAAATTTTGAATGCATGTGCCTATAGGCTTGCTCATCACTTACACTGATAATAACTCTTCCACTATTTAGATGCATCACTTACACTAACAATAACTCTCTCTCTTTAGATGGACCCTATGAATTTTGGCCATGTGCCTATTGGCGTGCTTGTTAAGAGCATGAATTTTAGCAGTGTGCCTATTTGCTTGCTTGTAAGTGTACGGGGTATGGAAGAACCGCCTTGGAATGGTGGGGCGGCATGCATGTTTATTTGCTTCCTAGCTTGTTGAAGGTATTATATAGAGTTAGAAGAGTTTCTTCATAGTGTAACTACAACCTATGTTATGGTATATTTACTGATTGGATCATGGCAATGTCGATACGTACACACGTTGTTCTTTTTTTAGAGACGATGTTTTAGAAGAGCTGTTTTGATTGTCCGAGGATGATGATCCCTAGTGGTTATAGTTCGGACGGTATGATATTTGTTGTCTTGTCTTTTTATTTCCTTTTCTTAGAAAGTAATTCATATGATGCGTGCACAGATTGAGAGTGGTCTTGCACTAATTATACCGTCTTATTAGTTGTCTAAGATAAATAAAATTTCCTTCAAAAAGGGCTCCAAAAAAACAAATTGGATGAGTTTAGAACATATAAGTCACAATAACAGCCAAAGATATATAATGGTTTCTATCACGAGTAGCCACTGAAAACAATTGAAAATGCAACTACTCCCTTCAATAGTATGAAGTGCACTGTGAAGCTTGGATCCTTCAGTACTTTGTAAGGCTAAGTGCTACTTTGGAAAGTAGTAATTTCATAGGGATCAAAACAATTAATTACTGTGAAAAACCTCCAAAATTAATTCCTTGAATCTAAACAAGCCAAATATTTATTTAAAATTTATAAATTCCTCATACCCCTCAAGAACCTTTTGCACCTCCAGCTTCCTCCTCGCCTCCTCCTCCTCCCTCCTCATGGCCGCCTCCGCCTCTTCCTCCCGCCGCCGCTGGTTGAACCTCTCCACCCTCCTCAGCCACCGGACCCGCCTCCGCACGCAGTTCCTCATCTCCAGCGCAGCGTACAGGATGCCGGCCACGAAGCGCCTCTCCGTCGGGTTCGCCGGCAGGCTCTCCGGCTTGATCCCGAACGCGGCGAGCAGCCTCGGCTGGCCGTCGCCGGCGGCGGCGGCGGCGGCGACGGCGGCGTTGCCCCTGTTGATGCACTCGATGAGAACCTCCTCGATCCCTGGCCCCGCCATGAACCCGAGGCCGAGGAGCGCGGGCCGGGTCGCCTCGTAGGCGCCCCACGCCATGACGTGGTACTCCACCAGCCTCCTGCTGCCGGCGTACATGTCGATGGCCTGCGACTCCAGGCGGCGGAGCAGCCGCGCGTACATGCGGAGTAGCTTGCCCATGTCGTGCTGCGCCGGCGGCGGCGCTGCAAGGGAGGGAGGAGGAGGTGGCTGGCCCACGTCGTGCGTCGCCGGAGGAGAGGGAGGAGGAGGAGGAGGAGGTGGTGGAGGTGGAGTCTGCTTGATGAGTTCCATGGCTTCTTCTGCAGACCACGCAATTACCTCGTAGATGGAAATCTGCCAAAAACGTAAATATTATGCTCATAATTAACTACTCCCTCCGTCCCAAAATATTTGACGCAGTTGACTTTTTAAAATATGTTTGACCATTCGTCTTATTTAAAAATTTTTGTGAAATATGTAATAAGACTATATGTATACATAAAAGTATATTTAACAATGAATCAAATGATAGGAAAATAATTAATAATTACTTAAATTTTTTGAATAAGACAAACGGTCAAACATATTTAAAAAAGTCAACGACGTCAAATATTTAGGGACGTAGGGAGTAATTAATAAATAATATTCGATAGATATCATACAATTGATACGACTCTATATGAGTAAATCAGATTTTTTTTAATAATGAAAATATATCACACAAGCAAATAAATAAATTAGATCTAAAGATATTCTCTCCATCCCAATTTGATCATCACCTAACGATTTTGAGGTCTTCCTAAAATAATTATCATATAATAATAAGTGTCTCTTTATTTATTTATTATGCAAAGGGTAATTGGGCATCGCTGAATGGAATGCATGCATGAAGCCATATGCATGCTACGACTGTTAGTGCAATTCCATGCAACATTTAAAGTGTGATGCAATATCCACTGGATATATGGAGCACCTTGATTGGTGATAATTAATTTAAAAACATGAAAATTTTATTGTCCTTGTCTTTGCACCTTTTATTTAGGGGATGATCAAATTGGGATGAAGGATATACTATTAAACTAATAATAAATAGAAATATTAGTTGTTTCAACGGAACATCGAAAACAAAATGCAACAATTTTAGTTTAAGTTATGAAGTTAGCAAGATGGATCAGCAGGTGCCTAACTAATTTAATCGAGTAATCGATCGGCAGCAAAAGAAATTAAACAACAAATTAATTTAGAGAATAATCAATATGGATTTTCTATATTGTATTTGTATTGCATGATCGAAGGAAAGAATTAAGAGATCATGATCGAAGATGAGATCGATCGATCACCTCGGTGAGGTCGTCATCGTTGACCCATGGGGACGCTACGGACATGTTGGGGAGGACGGACGATGCCTCCGCTGTCAGCCTGCAGTGCGGCGGCCCTCCTGTGGCGGTGCACCTCGGGAGGTGGACGACGACGGACGGAAGCCGCGAGGGGGCGCGCGCAGCCATGGTTGCCGGCCGCACGACTACGGAGCCGCCGCTGATGAGGAGGCCGGAGGGGCGCATCATCTCTCGCTGCCCGCCTGGTCGATCGGTGTAGTTTGTTGCAGGCCGGGGCTTAGGGTGTGTATATATATATATATCGATCGAGTTGGAGAAGGAAATTAAGGTAAAACCCTAAGCCCTAGGAGATTATATATATATAGTATACCTATTATTAATTACTAGCAAAAATACCCGAAATTGCTAATTCGCCGACGTCCGCGCGGATGAGGAGGGCGGCAGAAGCCGCGCCGCGCGTGGGATTTTTTTCGGTTTTCTTTGTATCTTTTCGGTATTTCTTCGGTTTTTTCCTTCCGTTTTTTTTTTGTTTTTTTTACGGGATACAAAGTTTATATACGTGTAAAAAACTTTTTATGTGTATACAAACTTTGTATACATAATATATTTTCTAGTTTTTTTATTTTTTAATACATACTTATATAAAATTTATATACGTTATATACTTATGTATATACGCCATATTTAACCAAGAACCCCAGCACCCAACCTTGGAAACGAACTCACTACGAGAGGGCGGGCTCTAATCCTTAAGAGTATTTTAATAGTATAGCCAACTACTGACTCTAAATTATCTATAAATAATCTAATAGCCCATTTATACAATAGTTAACTATAAAAATATACTACACCATTAATACCCGGTCCCACATCTCATACACACATAACATATTAGAGTCCGTGTTGCAGCTAGCTATAAATTTGTAGCCCGCTTTTTTCTCTCTTCTCTTTTTTTCTCGATATATGCAGTGGTTATAGCTGGTTTATAGTCTACTACTATTGTACCTGCTCTAAGCGAGGAGATGACACAGGGTGCCAAAGGTTGGGGCCATCGTCGCGGCCGGTCTTTCCCCGGCCTCCGAGCGTTGTAACCAGTGCTAGGAGAAGCTGGATCGGGAACAAAGATCTGATTGGCACGGAGCAGGGGGACCGGCGCTAGGAGATGTAGTACCAATTGGATCAGGAATAAAGATCGAATTAGAAATGGTAATAAAATTGGTCGCTAGCATGCACACATTCTCCGATGTTGCATTAATTGTATTCCGATGAAATCCGCGTCCATAAAGTTATATGATGATCAATTTGAGAAATTTTAGATTTCATTATATAATGATCAATTTGGGAAGGAGAGAGTACAGTACTCTTTAGCTAGTTGGAGCCACTTTTTAAATAAATGGTTCAAAGCTAATAAGAACGTGAATTACATAATACTTTAAAGAAATTGGAACTGCTAGAGAATTTATAGTCCGGGTTGCAACCCCTTTAGTCCTAGGTTGCAAACCAGGAATACGAATCTGGGTTTGTGAAGGGAGCTATCTATTTTTGATTTCCTATTTTTTTTCAGCGTCATTATGTCAGGTGAGATGATAAAAACACTACAAATATTTTAAAAGACTATAAAAAGTGCCCGTGCGTTGCAAGGGAAGAAAAAACGAGAAAATTGAGGAACAATTGAGAAAGATTTACATTTTGTAGTTAATTAAATTATAAATTTCCTGAGATATCTAGGTATTTTTAAATAGGTAGATGTATAATTAAATTAATTTATAAGTAAAGTAAGTGTGGGAAATAAAATAGCATGGCTGAATTTAATTTTTTATTAAATTCTTCATGATTATTTACACTCTTTGATTTTTTCTCGGAATTTTCAAAGATTAATTGCTATTTTCTATAATACAAATATCATTTCAGCATTTATTTAAAACAAAATCTAAATAAAAATCCTCATTTGTGTATGGGCCTTTTTTAGCCAATTTTCTTCCTCAACCCGTAGCTAAGCCGGCCCATTTTCCTCCTTTCTCCTTCCCTCCGCCTTCCCATATCTGTCCAGATTCTCTCAGTTGCCCAACACCGGCTGAAGCCACCTCTTGTGAAATCAGGTCATTTCCTTATAGATAATCTAAAATTGATCGAGGGTTTCGATTCTTATCTTTTCATTTTTCCGTTGTCCCAAAAATCAGAGAAAATCCATTGTGTATCAAACTCGGAATTAAGCCCTATTCTAAACAAGCAAACTCTAAGTTTAGTCCATTTCAATTGAAAAAAAATCGCCGAAAGCTTTACATATTTTCTTTAATTAGGTATATGATATAGACCATTTGCTATAAGTATATTGGTATGGATGCATGCTTTGATACGTCCAAAAGTGCGACGGAAATTAAAAGGAAAAATATAAAGCATACCATGGGACCCACCATATGCTGGATGCACCACAAAAATCTCCCATCAATGGTCATGCCCTGTCCTCTATCCCATTCCGTTTCTCCTCTCTCTTTCTCTGCGATACGATCGCTCCTTCTCAGGCTTGTGACGTGCACCTGCATCCCGCAGTCCTGGCACCTTTTGCATCTTTGAGTCTGGTGTTAATAGAGATGGCAATGGTTAATTCACCGTCGGGGTCATGCCCGTGTCCCCGTCACCACGGTGAAAATATGTCACTGTCCCCGCCCCCGTCAACTACAACGGGGCTATAATTTCTCTAGCCCCGATCACCACGCGGTGAATTTTTCTCCATGGTGAACACGTCCCCGGTTAAACAACATATTCACAATCACATTATATCAAATATATCCAAAATACTCCACTCAACAAATCAGCAAATTATAGATCACAATCACAGTAAGGATCATTATCATTTGTCATTACTTCATTAGGCAAAACACAAATAAACATCACCTGATGACATGAGCCACAAAATTGCAGTCTAGACTCTGGAGCTAATATTAAACATCACATGATCACATGAGCCACAAAATGACAGTCTGAAGCTAATATTAGTTTCACAAATCACAAATGAGCATAGTCACTAAGTCAGCAACATATGAGTCTGGGGCACCATTGTCGCGTCCCAAATCGACTCTAAAATACATCCTCTAAATTATGATTAGAATAATTAAAATCCATGTGAAAGCCTTCAAAAATTAAAATGTGCAAAGTTAAAAGTCAAATAAGGCTTGGAGGATTTTTGTATATTTCCTAAAAAGCCTAAAATGCGTAAATAAATTTTAGTGGAATTTTCAGAGCACAAATGATAATTAAGAAGAAATAAACAAAGTTAAAAAGGTTTTATAAAAAGAAAAACCCTAAAAAGTTCCCTTTCCCTCCCCCTCCCCCTCTTGGGCCGGCTCGGCCCAGCTCCCTCCCCTCCCTCTCCTCTCCCCGCGGCCCACTCGGCCTCCTCCCCGCGCGCGCGCCGCTGACGGGCGGGCCCGCCCGCCACCCTCGCTGACGGGTGGGGCCCACCCGTCATCCCCTTCCCCTCCACCGTTTCCGCCACTCGCCGCCTTTCCTCCCCGTCGGAATCGAGCCCGCGCCGTCGCACTCTCTCTCCGCCGTCGCCGCCGAGCTCCGGTCCGCCGCCGCCGTCGCCCCGGACCATCTCCCGCCCCGGCGCCGCCTCCTTCGGCTTCGCCGCATCCTCGCCGACCTCGTCCGCCCCTCCGCTTCGCTCACCGACCGCCGGAACGCCGTCGACCCCGTCGACCCGAGCCGCGCCGCCGCCTTCCTCCGCTCCGGCCGCCGTTTTCGTCGTCGCCTTCGACTCGGGGTGAGCCGTGGACCGCCGCTTCGTTTCCCCCTTTCCCTCCCCTCTCTCGGTCGCTGTTCCGCCGTGCCGGTGGTCGCCGGCGGTGACCATCGGGGCACGGGCGCCGCCTCCCGCCGGCCGCGCCGCAATGGCCGCCCCCCCGGGCGCACCGAGCGGCTGCCACGTGGGGCTCGGCCGTCAGCCGCCCGCGCCCTCGGGTGCGGCTGACGCCTGGGGCCCACGGCGCCGGTCGGCGTGAGCCGCGTGCACCCGGTCCACCGTGGGCCGTGAGGCTGCCGCGTGGGCCCCGCTCCCGTGGACCCGGTCCGCGCGCCCTCTCCCCTCGGCTGACGCAATAAATCCGATTTTAAATTAAAATTTAAATGAAGAAATTCGCAAATATTCATTTAAAGAGCATATAAACTTCAAATGGCTATAACTTGGCCATTTGAACTCAGAATTGGACCGTTCAAGTCTCTAATTTTTCCTTAAGAAGTCAAGAACCCATTTTTGTGCTTTGTTAATGCTTTTTATATGGAGTTTGTTAGAGTAAAAGCCTTTTCTTTTCCGTTGGTCGTGTAGACGCTGCAGCTTCGGAGGATCCGCTCTTCGTGGAAGTTGAAGCCGGCGTTTGGGAAAGCGAGCAAGGCAAGACACATCATCCTTGAACATATTGAATCCCAATTTCTGAAATTATTTTGATTTAAATTATTGCATTATCGCTTTATTTAAATTCCCGCGTTATCACTGTTTTATTTAGCCATGCCTATTACCTTTGTTACGACCTTATTATTTTTATTGCTATTATTACCTTGTTCACCCTAGAATAAACAAAACCCCCAACTAGTGGACACTCTATTTGTGGTATCACTAGTATGATTTTAGGTAGATGCTTCGCTGATTAATTAGGTAACATTAGGTGGTTTTAAAACCCTAGACTGTGGTAATATTCATATCACCTGGACACTGGAATTGTTGGATTATTGTGGAATTGGATTCACCCCGCCCCCTCTATTCAAAACTCTCAAAATGGTTTTAGGCTGGGCTCGGGGTGCATGGTTTTGATAGTCGCACCTCGGCCATATAAGGACCGGTCTTCGGGCCTCTGTTGCAAAGCACCACCGTACTTCCACATGTCTAATGGGTAAGGCTTAGTTTGTGGCTCAGTCTGGTTATAAACAAAAGTACACGGATGGAGATGGACGAAGTCGGGGGATTCGATGGACATCTCTAGGACAAATGAAGGCTACACGAGCTGCGGCCCGGTAGTCGAGATGTCATGGCACAGGGTTGGTGCCCTGCTGCTAGGGGCTCAGTCCTGCCTACCTGTCCCGGGGGTTCCGGCCGTAGGTGGGATTGGGTCGGTACTCTTGTCTATGGCTAGGATGGGTTGGGAACTATGTCACGTCTTCCGTCTGTATACCGTGGTGGTATGTGGCACGTGGTTACACGTGAGGAAGATGTGTCTTGTGGGTAAAGATGTACACCTCTGATCAGAGTATAACCTATTCGAATAGCCGCGCCCTCGGTTATGGGCAAGCC